CTCTGTGAGTTTGAGGCCAGCCTGGTCTACAGAGAGAGTTCCAGGATAAGCTCCAAAAGCTACACAGAGAAATCCTGGAGAGAGAGAGAGAGAGAGAGAGAGAGAGAGAGAGAGAGAGAGAGGGAGAGAGAGAGAGAGAGAGAGAGAACTCTCCTACACTGTTAGTTGAAGTGTGAATTTGTACAGCCAGTATACATGGAGAGATACTGAAAAGTCAAAACTAGAATGACCATATGATCCAGCAGTCCTCACACTGTGTATACTCATGAAGGGAATGAAATCATGTGTTAAAAAGACAACTGCACTCCTGTACTCCCTGCAGCACTATGTACAATAACTAAGAAATGGAGATTACTTAAATGGCCATCAATGGATGGATGGATAAAGGAAATGTGCAGCATAGACTCAATAGGTTATTTAGCCATCACAGAACAAAATCCTTTCCTGTACTAGCATAGATGAGAATGGAGATCTCCACATTAAGTGAAATGAATAAGGCACAGAAAGACAAGTACCACAAGATCTCACTCACATGAAGCATTTAGAGCTAATCTTGTAGCTGGAGTTATCCAGTCTCTCCTGGGGCCCGCAGTCACTCAGATTCAAATAAACACACAGACTCTTATATTATTTAAACTGTTTGGCCTAATGACTCAGGCTTCTTGTTATCTAGTTCTTACATCTTCAATTAACCCATTTCTATAAATCTATACCTTGCCACATGGCTCGTGGCTTACCAGTTTCTTACATGTTGGTACTCATGGTGGTGGCTGGCAGTGTCCGCTGACTCAGCCTGCCTCTTCCCAGAATTCTCCTCTATCTTTGTCCTGCCTATACTTCCTGCCTGGCTACTGGCCAATCAGCATTTTATTTATCAGTCAATCAGAGCAACACATTCACAGCATCCCCAGCATGATCTCCTAGATGTTGAGAATAAAATGGTGATTCTGGGGATGAGGAGGCTGTGGGTAAGGAGGGGTGGAGAAAGGTTGATCCTTAGGCAGTAAGTGACAGTTCTATGGGATCAAGGAGTTCTGGTGTGCAATTGCACAGAAGGACGGCTACAGGTGAAGAGGAGGAGGAGGAGGGAGGAGGGAGAGGAGTGGGGAGAAGGAGAAGGAAAAGAAGAAAGAAGAGACAGAGGAAAAGGAGAAGGAGGAGGGTTTCAAAAGCCAGGGAAGAGTTTGAGTGCCTTCATCAAGTAATTATAGGCAGGAGAGATGGCTCAGTGGTGGGAGCATTCACTGCTGTGGCAGAGGACCCTGGTTTCACTTTCCAGCACCCACATCTAGTGACCCAAAACCA